CCACATGCAGTAGTTTTGCCCTCTGTCACCCTTCAGTCTCTGTGTAATGCCTCTCATTTCTGTACACCAGCTGTGAAGCATTGAGAATTTGGGGAAATGGGATTATTTAGTGCAGCCCTGCAGGCATTGGAACACAAACTGTCCTCAGAGTCTTGATCATCTAAATGAGTCATTTTCTCTTTCTTTCGCTGACCTGCCCATTTCCTCCTGAATTACCTGTGCCCCTTACAGAACAGAAGACCTTCTGTTTCAGAATAACCCCATCATATGTCTTTGTCTAATTCTATGCCAAGTGCTACAACCTTTTAGCCACTAAATAGTCACAAATGTAATAGATTTCATATATTTTTTAGAATGACAGGATATAGAGACACTGTTAAAATAGTTGAAATTTTAAAGTACCCATGAAATCAAAATTGACGTTTTATGGCTTTTTGTATGAATATGTTATCTATAAGCTAGTGTGCTCCAAAATAATGACAAATTTCACATTTACAAGATATAAGCATTCAAAACTTACAGTCTCCAACTTCCGCTAATATGGATTTTGAAATGATTTTCATGACATCGCCCTACCCTTCAGCTTCTCATCAAACTTTCTGTCCAATCAAATGCTCTCTAGAATTCGAAGCATCCCACCCCTTAACACAATAAATTAAAAAAAAAGGGGTCCTACACTGTCTTTACCATAATTCTTACTTATTTTTTTGAAAAAAGTCCCTTATGCTCAGACGGCATTTAAGGCTGCATTTACTGAATATTGTAAAAATATTATTACAAGTTAAAATAGCTTTTTTGTATTTTAATATATTTGAAAATATTATTTATTCCTGTGATGCAAAGCTGAATTTTCAGCATCATGACTTCAGTCTTCAGTGTCACATGATCCTTTGGAAATCATTATAATATGCTGATTTTCTGCTCAAGAAACATTTATTATTATTATTATTATTTTTTTACCAATGTTGAAAACAGCTGTGCTGCTTAGTATTTTTGTGGAATCTTTCTGATGAATCTCTATGATGAATAGAGTTTAAAAGAACAGTTTTTTACACAGACACACACACACACACATACAAAATTACCATTTGATTGATATATATATCTGTAAATTGTATTTTTATATTGTGTGTAATCTATTGTCACATTATAATATATTACTTTTATCATTTATTATGATCTATAATTTTTACAGTGCAAGCAGAAGCATCAACTCCCTATTAAAACTCTTTGGCGTGCACATACTTTTGACATATGGTGAAGAAGGTGAAGTAAACTTTGAATTACTGCATTACTATACATTCTTTTAAAATACTCCTTTAACTCTCACCACACACACACACACACATACAAAATTACCATTTGATTGATATTTAACTGTAAATTGCATTTAATTATATTGTGTGTAATCTATTGTCACATTATAATATATTACTTTTATCATTTATTATGATCTATAATTTTTACAGTGCAAGCAGAAGCATCAACTCCCTATTAAAACTCTTTGGCGTGCACATACTTTTGACATATGGTGAAGAAGGTGAAGTAAACTTTGAATTACTGCATTACTATACATTCTTTTAAAATACTCCTTTAACTCTCACCAGCATTCAAAGAGGAAACATTTGCAGACTTCTGTCTATTTAATGCATTCCAGCAGACCCCTTCAAGCAGTGTGAGTCAAATAAAACTGGTTTGGATTATAATCAGATCTGTGCTTACATATGACCACAAACAATTGTTTCCAATATGCCATATTCAAAGAAATATTAAAGGAGCTTCAACGTTTAAACACCATTGGACAGGTGGCCAACTGTGACCGAGAATGGTGAGCAATAATATTCATTCCATCTCTTTATTTAGCAAAACAACCCAAAAGGTAAGAATGATCCCACTTTTAGCTATGTCAAAAATTTTCCAAGTAAAAAATATTTCCTCAGAGTTTACAAATTGTTTCGAAAGTGCGAAGGAGGTGGATTACAGGACACCAAGTTGCTCAAAAAGGAACCTTAACTGCAGTTAAACACATTCCAAATCTCCAGGGCAGCAAGACATTGATCATGGCCAGACAGATCCACATGTATCAGGAAGGAGATGGTCTCATGCCTAGTGGCTTATACCATGTAAGGAAAAGGCCTGACTTGGCACGCACGCGCTTCAGCGCTGAAGCTTTTCCACAGCTAGACGTCTGGATAACGTATGATAAACAGTATGTTGCGATGGAACACGTTCAAGGAATAAACCTCAAAACGGAATTTGGGATTTCGGCCTCGCAGCTGCAAAATTCTCCGTACATTTTTGATGGACCTACCCAAAGACAGTTCAGTTTCGTCTTACTGTGACCTCACGCCTTGGGAATGCTACATGTGCCAATTGTCCATCATCTTTGGTTAAGTGGTACTCCAGCTCCAATATATATAATTCCATCCCAAAAAATGTTTGCTGCATTATTCAAGGCAGCACTATGGAAACTCGGTCTTCAAATTACCTGCTTTTCAACATCTGGCAGCAGTGAAGTGTGTATTAAATGAGCTGTCTAAGGGATTGTGTCTTGTTATGTATTTAACTAAACGAATGGTGCTAAAGGTCCAAATCCAAAAATCAAGCACAACTGAAATAACTATAGATTACTTTGAAGACATAGTCTGGTTCATATCCATTTCGCTCAGAACCGATGTCAGGATTAAGCCAATTTAGAAATTTAATGAGTGATTGTGATTTTTAAATGTCTTTATATTCGTTTGGAATATTCAAACTGGAATTCTTGCCAACCAAAGCACCAGTTCAAATAACGTTGTGTCTTTTTATGTTGTTGGATGATTCCTTTGAGTAAAACGAATCTGCCTGATGCTTGACGGGCCCCTGCTGACCCAGTATCCCTCCCTCTCTGATTTCCCCCTGAGTCTGGGCACGGAGGGCCAGCAGCATTCCCAAGCTCGATCCCATCCCACTCCGGAAGCACAGGGCAGTACTCCTAACATCCTGCCCGCAGCCTGTGCCAAGGCCCTGTTATCGCCGTGCGCTGAATTGCCTCCAGATTCTGTTCAGCTGCACAAAACACACACACACCACTCGCTGCTGCGGTGCATTCCACACACTGCTTCATCTGTCACCAGATCTGCACTCTGGAATCTCTATGATGAATAGAGTTTAAAAGAACAGTTTTTTACACAGACACACACACACACACACACATACAAAATTACCATTTGATTGATATTTAACTGTAAATTGTATTTAATTATATTGTGTGTAGGGGGGGGGGGGGGGGGGGGGTGAAAAATGTGATGTTATGTGATGATTAATGACATTTTTTGATCAAAATATATAATCATTTGTATAATAATAAAACATGTTTTTAAAATAAATATTTTGGTCTGAAATCTATAACAATAATAATAAGCAAATTAATTTATTATGACAAATACTTTTTGGCTAAATTTGTTATTATTATTATAAATTGTGTGTGTGTGTGTGTATATATATATATATATATAGGAAGAAAAAAGTATC